TCATCAAATTTTGACGCTGCGATTCAAATCTTTCTCTACCTGCACGAGCCAAATTTCCTGAGTCAAGTTTCGCTTCACAGCCGCTCAATATATATTTGTATTAAAACGCGATGATCTTTGTTTACCGGCTTTTCTCCCGCTTGCATCTGATAACAAATCTCCGAAGTTCTCTGTCACGGAACGATATACCACAGAAGGCATTTCATGGACCGCAAGTTTTTCGACTGATTACAATTGAAGATATGTAGCGGTGACCTTCACAAGTTTTTTTTTGTCAGATAAGTGTAGTTTTTCGTCCGCTGAAGTAATCTACTGATCGATTCCATCGCCAATGTTTACATAAGATAGTTGAATTAATTAATGGAATTAAATCATTCAGCCATTAACTTTAACTGTTAACACGATTGTCGTTTTTCATCAATACGTTAACAACTGAAACAATTCGTAGTATTAGGTTTGTGCTTGAAATAGGTATTTTAAAGTTTACTCCAAAGATAAGTGTAAACTGTAACAAGTTTGGTTACCGTTTATGCGCGGCCTAGCACTTCAAGCCTGAATACACTCACCCAGTCCCTCATCTTCTGTATGCTCTGTACGGTCACCTGTTCAAGTACAGGATACCAAGAATTTGGATTTGTAAAATAGTACACCGCCCGAGGGGTTGTCCTCTTTAAGCTGTCTTTCCTGCATTTCCAAAGTTTCTTGGGTAATCTAACACCGTGGGGGTTTCGATACCGTTAAGCATTTCAACTGACGTAGCAGTCTCAGATGCCTTGTTACCCTTCCGGCCACTAAGGATTTTTGGTAAATTGGCAACTTCGCTTCTGATATACTTTTCATTGCCGCGCAATAACTCAAGAGTGTCGCTGAACAGCCCGACCACCTGCTGAATGCTAGATAGCCTGTTCGCCTGGTGCTTTTCGTGGACCGAGAAGATCATTTTTTCCACAAAAACGGACCGCGTATAGAACCAATCAGATTACAGGATTCGTTACCGTGTCCTCTAAAAAAAAAATAATAATTATAATAGGTGATCAAAATCGAAACATTCGGGAATTCGAAGTGGTGGTAAATTTCAAAAAGGCGTTCTTCTTCATCGGCCTACCACAGAAACCTGTCAGAGGTTGTCATCAGTATTTCACTTCAATCAATGTAAGTAAAGCTTAAGTAGTGTACGAAATTGTTAAAAATTAAGGTAACGTTTTTCAAGTGAATAGAGATTTTGCGTGATGATTGTCACCCTGTATGTCTTGTGGAACTTCTGCCACATCATTCATCGTCATGAGGTGAATCCGGAAAACTTGAACATGTGAACTTGACTAACTAGCAATTCTAAGATGCTTCTTGCAACATAACACCGTTTGACATATGACGACGAGAATGTATTCAAAACATTTCAAAAAGTTATCAACATGGGGAGAAACGAGAGGATATCGCGTTCACTTTGTCATTTATTGGCCTTGTTTAGTTATGTGAAGGTGCCATGATATGAACACGCAGACAGGCAAATATATTTCAAACCTCGGGTATAGATCATTTTCAGCATTTTCAGCATTTACCCGTAGATGCGCTTGATTTTGGCCGGTCGGTCTAGTTCAGTAGAGAGGAGACTCTTTTCGGGGGAATGGCCTCACTAAGATAGGCTTAAAGGTATAAAAGGCAAGTTATATCTAATACTAGGATATCTTGTGAGGAGTAACGTGCACCAATTGTCCGTGAAAGCTTCCACAAACAGCCGAAAAAACAATAAGCAGTGGTTATTTACCCATTAACGACAGACTTCCCTGGAATTTAGGCAGGATTAATGGAAATCGAATTTTATAAAATTCAAACCAAGGATGGGGTTCTTTCAAGTATGTTTGCAAACCGCTATTTAATGCGTCTTTTGATAAAAAAGGGTTTTAAAGTGTTAGAACGGGATATAAGAGGTAGTTTGGAGAAGAAAATGACATTTGTTTTTTCACATGCATTACGAAAGACCACTAGTCCAATACTTCCAATTAAACAACAGCTCGTCTGCCTTGTTCAATGTTTATCGATCTTTAAACTCTGTGGCTCTCATTTCCTAAAAGAAATAAGAATGACGGACTTCCTACGGGGACACTGTATTAGGCCCGTTCCGAATGTGCTCGTAAAAATGCTAGAAAGTTGCTCACTTGAATGCCAAAAAGTTGTTTAAAAATTGCCAAAAATGAAAAAAGTTACTCGATATAAAATAAGCCATCTACTCCGTTCATGGACAGTAATTTAACAGAGACAGCCATTTTTGTGCGTCGATTATCCGTTCTAATATTAGACAATATGCCTGCGAGACTTTCAAGAAATTTGCATGCTAAGAAATTGCTCAGAAAGGCAAAAATTGAACGAGGTTGCCAGGAACGCAAAGAGTTGCTCCAAACACCAAACGTTGCTCATAAGTTGCCAAGCACAATCGGGACAAGGCTTCGCTGTATCGTTCGAATATAGTGATTGCTCTTACATGAAGGAACGCAGGTAACCTCAACTAAAATAATCGCATCCCACGGAGAATATCTTCTTTGCCTTTATGGGAGGTGCAAAGGAAATACTTTGTAAGGAGGAGTTCTTTTAGTTGGACTTTGTTTCCTCAGGCTTGTTATTATATCATTCAACTTCCTGAATAATTGATTAAAACTCAAAATTGATTCAAGGGTCCTGATTCAGGCTAAAATCAACAATTATAAATATTCAAGTTCTTTGTGGACCGAGTAGTTTTTCAAATGCAATACAGGAAGTTTTTTGTTACTTACTTAACTGGTGATGGAGGGCAAATTTGTGTAGGCACGGAGGGGAGAGGTTAAACTCTTTGACATACTCTGGAACTTTCGCGCTATATTAGTCCATGACAAAAGCTGAAGTTGTTGTTTGTAAATAAAGGCGGTTTCTATCCATCTATTTCCGTTCATGGAAAGTAATTTAACGGAGACAGTTGCTAAGAAATTGTTCAGAAAGGCAAAAAATGCACAAGGTTGCTAGGACCGCAAAGAGTTGTTCCAAACACCAAACGCTGCTCATAAGTTGCCGAACACAGTCGGGATAGGGCTTCGCTATATCGTTCGAATATAGTGATTGCTATCACATGCAGGTGACCTCAACTAGAATAATTGCATCCCACGGAGAATATCTTCTTTTCCTTTATGGGAGGTGCAAAGAAAATACTTTGTAAGGAGGAGTTCTTTTGGTTGGACTTTGCTTCCTCGGGCTTGTTATTACATAATTCAACTTTCTGAATAATTGATTAAAACTCAAAATTGATTCAAGGGTCCTGATTCAGGCTAAAATCAACAACTAACATAACTCTAAATGTTCTAGTTTTTTGTGGACTGAGTAGTTTTTCAGATGCAATACAGGAAGTTTTTCCTAACAATAGCTAATTACTTACCCGGTGACGTAGAGCAAATTTGTGTAGGCAAGAAGGAAAGGGGTTAAACTCTTCGACATACCCTGACACTTTCGCGCTATATCAGTCCATGACAAAAGCTGAAGTAAAAAATCAATGACTAATTTACAATTCAAAACTTAACGCACTTTCCCACTAATCACTCAATTAACAAAGCGTAATTACACGTCTGTATATTTTCAATCTAGTTCGCGTCTTTATGAAAAGCTAATTATTTCGTGCTTTTGTTTCTCTGACCAAAATAACGCTCTTACTGCGACTCACTAAACATTCAAATTTGAAAAAAACCCATGCGCTACTGTCATACGAGCTTGCATAATTTCCCGCTAGGTTTGACCCAAGTCAGTCTTGTCTGCTCTCTAGGCTTCCTCTACAGTGCTTTGTTCCTTTCTCGGTAAGATGAAAGGTTTACGGTCAATCCGCCACCACAACAAACTCACTGCATCAAATTTACATCAAACGAAGTATAAGATATTGTAGCAAACAAAAGGCAGATGAGCATATTTACTCCTCTTTATATTCAAAATAATAAAAAAAAACTGGTGTACGTCGGCAATTTACCTTGTGGCTTTGACTCAGTGTGTTTGAATAATTTTATAATTCTTAAACAAGGCCATAATTTCACAATTCTTGAACAAGGCCACTATTAGTATCCACTGAGCTTTGACTCAGTGTGTTTGAACAATCTCACAATTTTTAAACAAGGCCATTATAAGTAGCCGTTAAGAATTAATTACCACAATGGCCACGGACATATATTAACGCAACTTCATGATTTAGTAGACGGGGAATTTAATAAAGTGGTAATAATTATGATAATTATGATAATGAATTTTTAATGAATGGCACAGCTTAACCTTACAAATTATATCAGGAATGATGAATTACACTTTCCCGGCTATGTATAAAACACTAAATGCTGGTTGTATTACACATGTATTACACATGTATTAAACTAAAGTTTTCTTAGCGAGAAAGCCTAAGAAAACATATGTATCCTATTAAAATGGGACAACGATTTTAAGCAATATAAGAAACATTACGAAGAAAAAAAAAACCTATTTTTCTGCTTGTGTAAAATGTAAAATGCTCAGTTGTAATTGATCCAGACATGTGCATGTAAATTTTTCATAGGTCTTTCAGTAACGTGGCAAAATGTAAGATGTCATGTAATAATTGATGCAGACATGTGTATAGAAATTTACATAGATCTTCTATTAATACGGCAAAATGAAAGGTGATCAATTTTAAATTGATCTAGACATGTGCATGGAAATTTCCAAAGATCTTCTATTAACATGGTAAAATGTAAGATAAGATAAGTGCATAGAACTTTCCATAGATCTGCTAATAACTTGGTAACATGTAACATGATTATTTACTGCTTTTAGTTCAGACATCTCTCTATATTTGCAAAATTATCAGCAAAATCGCTGTTGATATTTTATTTTCTCTATGCATTTCTCAAAAGACAATTCCTGCATGTCTATGCTATAATAGTTATCTATATATTTGTGATTTGAGGAACTTACAGTTGATGGTCTGTGTTTTGACTTAATTCATGTTCTCCTTCTTATCTTAGAGTGCAGCTTTACTTAACTGGAGATGACAAGGCACGGGTATAACAAGATCTCGCAAGACGACGAAAAGGCTCCGCAGAAGGTTGGCTTTGTTTCTTATGTTCTCTACCAGTGGATGAGCAGTGTCTTCAAAACAGGCAAACAACGAGCGTTGGAGCAAAGTGATTTTTTACCTCTTTCAAAAGAAAATCGTACGTCATTCGTAACCGAAAATCTTCAGGAGAACTGGAGCAAGGAAGAGAGAAAATGCCATGAAACTCCGCGAGGACGACCAAAGCTTTGGAAAAGCGTCACACGAACAATCTCCTTTAGGGAAGTTATGATCCTCATTTGCATGGGTATTTTTCGCTCATTCTTCCGTATTCCCTCTCCTTTGCTCCTTGGATATCTAATTTCATCGCTGATGTCTACGGAGCCACAGCAGAAAATGTTTCTCTATGGTTGTGCGCTGGCTCTGAGTATCAGCTCTTTGATGCAGAAAGTTTCATCTCAAACGCTTATGTACAGGTGTGAATTAATGGGAATAACCCTGAGTAGTGCTCTGAATGGTCTTGTTTATCATAAGGTAGGTACCTTACTTCTATAAAATGTAGAGGATGTAATAATTCAGTCGTCAGGCGAGGGTCTGAATAGGATAATTGTTTTCGTAAAAACGCACACAACTGATCATTAGCCCTTACTACTAACAAGCTTTTCTTTGGTTTGACAACGACCGATAGAAAAAAGCAAATTCCATTCCAAAAATAAATATAACACGATGGACAACTTCGTACTTGTGAAAGAAAGTCGACGTTCTTAAAGTTCACAAAGCTTTGCGCAGTCTGAAGTAGCCAAAACTGAGACGTTATCACGTGGAAATTAATCTGTTTACATAGGGGAGGCGAGCAAAGAAAGAGATCAGTGGCTACTCAGATCGATTTGAGTTAGGCTGTTATGTAAAATGTGCCTTCTTGTTTTCTCGCGGACGTGTAAAAAGATTTAGGACAATGGAATACCTTCAATGCGTGTTTTAAATTTTTACGCCCTGCTTCACATAATTGACCATATTTGTCGGAATTAAGCTGTGAACTCGGAGCTACTGTGTAAGCTCACAACATGACTGCGTTTGCCGATCAGAAGGCTAAAAATTCAATAACCGTGCTCACGTTTTATTAAAAAGAAATTATTCCTCTTTTCCAGACACTTTTACTCAGCAAAGACACATTATTACAGTACACAACAGGTAAAGTGATTGACCTGGTTTCAAACGATGTTCAGCGTTTGGAAGGAGAGACAATCAAGTGGATCTTTTTTGGTTTCTTTACATTAATTGAGCTCCTCATTCTTCCGTTTTTGATGGTGTATTACATTGGCTGGCAGTCTCTTATGGGAGTACTCTTTTTGTATCTTCTCCTTCCATATTTCGTCTTACTGTCCAAAGGGGGCGCAGTTCTGCGATTGCAAACAGCAGCGGTCTCTGACCAACGCATCTCTCTGATGAATCAGGTTGTCTCAGGGATACGTGCTATCAAAATGCATGCGTGGGAAGATGAATACCGCCAACAAATCAAGAAACCACGAAGGTATGTAAAGATATTATGAAACTAATTGCTCGATACAGAACTCAAGTTTCATGCAGGCTGTTTAAGACGCCCATTGATGAAACAATGTTGTTTTCGTTCTTACTCGATTCCAATTGTACTTCTGGCCAAATGAAAGCAAGCCTATTTCTTATTTAACAGCCCACCATTTCCATATTTTGTGCCCACTATTTCCATATTTCGTGCGAAATGAGTTATCATGCATGATAGTAGTTTTTTCTGAATGGTACAAACTTCATATATTGAACCAATAAGATCGCCTAGAACACCAAGACCACTAAGTATGTATGTCATCGACTAAATCGTTGTCAAAATATCCCAATTTTACTTGTCCTTTTTTCCAGAGATGAAATTGCCATTATTCGAAAGATGTGTGTTCTACGCGCAGGTGTTTTGGCCCTAAGATTCACTTCTGTTATCATTGCAACACTGTTGTCAGTCATTACCCTTGTGCTGACTGGAGAAACTCTGACACCATTCAACGTTTTTGTGTTGGTTTCATTTAACAACATGCTCGGGATAGGTATCGGCACTTTCCTCGGGTTTGCCTTGTTAGAGGGATACGAAGCTTACGCCTCGCTTGGCAGAATTGAGGAATTTCTCCTTTTGAAAAATTTGCGAATCAGTTCAAGTGATCGTTCAAGCCGAAAAGAAACAGATAATGAAGCGAGGAACTCATCTGAGATAAAGAGGAGTTCAGTAAATTGCCAGGAAAATATTGGAGGTTCTTCCACCTTGAATGAATCACAAGATCAAACGATATTGCGTGTAAGAAGTTTGGCGTACAAGCAAATGGAGCGACAAGACTCCTACATTCTTCAAGATATCGAGTTTTGCACACCTGCAAGTAGTTTAACAGTCATTACCGGGCCAGTTGGTAGTGGGAAATCTACTCTTCTATCTGTGATCGCTAGTGAAGTTCTATGCACACACGGAGAAGTATCCTGCCGAGGATCTTTAGCGTATGTTCCGCAGACAGCTTGGGTATTCTCTGGAACCATACGAGCCAACATTTTGTTTGGTTTGTCATACGATGATTCAAAATACACCAGAGTAATTGAGGCCTGCGCTCTGACTGACGACTTCCAGCAGTTTCCTGATACTGATCACACGCTTGTCGGCCAACGGGGTGTTGTTTTGAGCGGAGGTCAGCGGGCTAGGGTTAGTTTAGCACGCGCAGTGTACGCTAATGCAGATGTGTATCTTTTGGATGACCCTCTGAGCGCCGTGGACTTCAAAGTTGGACGACACATATTTGAAAAGTGTATCAAAGAACTATTAAGCGATAAAACTCGGATGATGACCTCTCATCAAGAAGACCACATGAAAGACGCTGATGAAGTGATCGTGTTGTGTAAGGGGCGTGTGCTGGAAAGAGGGAGTTTCCTGGAGCTGCAAGACAAAGGAATCCTTAATAAAACTATTGACCCGCTCTATATGAAGATTTCAAAAGACAATGCAGGTGAGAAGTTTGTCAGAGAGAACGAAAATGAAAGTGTTGGAGCTGCTGCCTGCTTGGCTGGGATGGAATCTCCGTCGAAGGAAACCAGGAGTCTTCTGATGCCACAAGAAGATCGGGAAATCGGTGCAATCTCTTCCAAGCTTTACTGGGACTATTTCAGAAGCGGAATGTCAACTTGGATGATTTTGGCGATAATCCTTTTCTCTTTAATAGCCCAAGGTAAGACTTAAAAACAGCCTCTCAAAAGGAGCTTGCCATGATTACGCAAATTTCATTTTAGAGTCCAAAGTAATCCAAGACTGGATTGCATTTGCAGCATGCTTTACTTCTCTCTGTAATTAGAGGGTGTAAATTATCCCTCGAAAATCTCAACACTCCTATCTAATATTGACCTACCGGCAAGGATAAAAAATGTTGAATTTGTTCCGATTTGAAATACAATGGATGCAAAAATAATTTCTTCGTCTTTCCTAACGAGTATCAGTGTGTGTGTATCTAAGGTACATCAAGTCAGCAATTAAAATTTTCGTTCCGTTTTATACGAAAGGCAATCAACACATAGAAAGTTTTTGCCTGAGTCTTACTTAACTTTTCTTTCTCTTTCCACCCAGGGATGTTGGTTGCTCCCGACGTGTGGCTCTCGTTCATGACAAAGCATCTCCCTCAAGATCAGAAAGATCAATCAAACTTAGTTATCTATGGATGTCTTGCTGTTGTATCCCTCATGTTTATATTGACAAGAACATATGTATTACTCTCCTGCTTCTTGCGATGCTCTGAGCGTCTTCATGACAAGATGGTCGTTGCTACTTTACAAGCTCCTGTTTTATTCTTTGATTCGAATTCCGTGGGAAGAATCCTTAATCGATTTTCGAAAGATATCGGCTGGTTGGACGAGCAGTTACCAAGGAAATTTCAACTGGCGATCGACTCAACCTTAAATATGCTTGCATCACTAATTGTCCCAGCTGTTATGAATCCTTGGCTTATTTTCATACTTATACCGTTGATTTCGGTTGCAATATACCTGTCCACGTATTATTTGAAGACATCCAGGGAACTTAAGAGGTTAGCGTCCATAAGTCGTAGTCCAGTATTCTCTCACATTTCGGAGACCCTTGATGGACTGGAGACGATTCGGACCAGAGAGCGACAAAGTGATTTTGTGGATCAGTTTTACAGGTGGGTTTGCCTCGTCTTAATTAATTTTAGACAACTTGCATCTTGGCTTAGTACAATGGATTCTCAGACATTAACTACTTGATTTATAGAGATAAAAGAAAGACGTCATATCGTCATTTCCATAAATAGTTACTGCAAGGTAATAGTATTTCCCTCAGAACAAAACGGGCACCTGACATCCTCGGCTCGATTTCCGCCGATCTCTCGTGTCCGGTCTTCGCTCCTCCCCGAGAAGAGACGAGAAGCTGATAAAGAGCCTACCGTCATCTCAGATAGACGTTGTTTCTGATCCCCTATATGTTCAAATGATCAGAAAGCAATGAATAACCCACTAATTTTGTCCTGTTCACTTGCTTTCTTAAAGACATCATGATGTTCTGAATCAAGCAAACATCTTGGTAATGGCCGGTGGGAAATGGATCAGTGTGCGATTTGAAATTCTTACATCCTTATTTGTTGGTGCAGTGGCTTTCTCAGCTGTTATTATGTCTCAAGATGCCGGTGAGTTTGTATTACAAAAAGAAGCCAATCCCTAATTCGATTGAGTGACCGAAGGCGCAAGAAAACCCAAATACTTACAGAGTCTCATCAGATTTCAGGTGATCAGTGGAAGGTGTAGTACATTACATTCGCTCAGAACTGAGGGAAAACAAGGATTAATATTGTGCGTAATTTTAAGTACTAGTGGTCAATCGAGTCGTAAAGTGGAGTAAATACTTTGTTACATCCATTTTTGAAATCACTGGTGATCCTTGCAATCTGATTGACTCTTATCGGTGTAATTTCCTCGCACCCATTTTTTGCTCTAATCGCATCTTTTTCCCAACAAACAGGCCTCCCTCATGCCAACTTTATGCAGTAGTCCACATAAATGAATCTTCTCAGGAAAACCCCCTGTATTGCCTTGTTTAACTTTCCATGGCAAGGGCGTGACAAGACTATTTTTTGACTGTTTAGAGTGGAAAATCAGTTAAAATCTTCTTTGGTTAATTTTTAGTTTCAATTTTTCGTCTAATTAGCTTTTGCTGGACTTGCCTTGGCTTACGTTGTTCAAAGACTTGCGCGGTCTCATTACGCCATCCGAACAACCTCAGAGGTCGAGAATCTAATGACGTCAGTTGAACGAGTTATTACATATACCAAGCTTGAATGTGAGCCTGGATATATGATAGAACGACGGCCCCCGGAAAACTGGCCAAATGTAGGAAATATCATATTCAAAGAAGTATCCTTGAGATATTATCCAGGAGGACCACAAGTGTTGAAGAATATCAAACTCAATATCAAAGGAGGAACAAAGATCGGTGTCGCTGGCCGTACTGGTTCTGGAAAGTCATCTTTTGTGGCAGCTCTAATGCGCATGCCTGAATCGTGTGATGAAATAGTCATTGATGGGATTCCGGTGAAGGAAATCAACCTCCAGGAAACTCGACGATGTATATCCGTCCTTGGCCAAAGTCCAGTACTGTTTAATGGATCACTGAGGAAAAATCTGGATCTTGTTGAGCAGTTTACAGATGCAGATTTATGGCAAGTTCTACAAGATGTGCAACTGAAAGAATCAGTGAAAAGTCTTCACGGGCAACTTGATCACGAACTGTTGGAAAATGGTGCAAATATCAGTGTTGGAGAACGACAGTTGATTTGTTTGGCCCGTGTGCTGTTGCAACGAAACAAGATCATCGTCTTGGATGAGCCCACTGCAAATGTAGATCCAGAAACAGAAAAAACAATCTTGGGCGTAGTGCGTGAAAAACTGAGAGACTCTACGGTCATCACTATAGCTCATCGATTGAACACCATCAAAGATTGTGATAAAATTTTACTTTTGAAACGTGGAACGGTAGCAGAGTTCGACAAATTTGACACTTTGGTGAACACAGAAGAAAGTGAGTTGCGTGAAATGGCGCGAATTGCAGGTTCCAAAACAACGTAACTTCAAATAGCCTGTTAACTATTTCTCAGCCACTTTCTGTAATTCTTTTATTAGCTATCTTATGTAAGCACGTTTTGTTCGCAATATACTGAACTTTACCAGCTGGTTTTTTGTATTTTAATTATTTGTGGCTGGTGCTACTTTACCGTAAAGAAGTGTTCCTCACTGTTTGTCACATTGATTCGTATCAGAAAGATCGCTGTTTAAGTATACTCGTCAACCAGTATCAAGAGAGCTGCAGTAGCGGCTGGAATATTCCTTTAGAACTTTTTTTTATCCTCATTGAAGTATTTTCTGTATCGTAATTTAGGGGCATAACAATAATGTAGGGCTTTCTGTAGTTTACGATAACGATCTCGACCTCGAATTTCCTCAGAATAAACTACTTTGAGGATCAAGCACAGTTGACTGAATCTCATTTTTGAAAGCAGATTACGGCCAAAAAGTAAGTTCTTGGGAATATTGGAGCCTGTGTTGCACAGGTTTACAGGATTCGCTGCTACTTATCTCCAGGGACGACATGCTAGGGATAGAGAAATGATATAAATATAATACAATCACGAAATGGCAAAGATGATGTTCGTTGTACTTGTTAGTGAGCCATGTGTAGGAATGCAAAAAATACAGCAAGCAATTTTATAGATGTTTTTCGTATAAGGTGGTGAACGCTTCATTGGGTAGGAATAGTCCAAGAGCACGGAAATTTCACAAGCATAAGTTAAACGTTAGAATCCAGCCCTTATTTCTACTCTTCTACCGGCTGAAGCGAGTGTAAGAGGGCATAGTACTGTGATGTTAACCAAATCCATATTCTAAACGCACGAAATCTTTAACAAGTCAAAAGGTGAACCATGGTGTCGTAAGACCACCATAACAAAAAACCCAATGTCTCAACAATTTTCTTGTATATCCGTATTTTATTTTTATTTTATTTTTTTTGTTTTCTTTTTTATGTTTTTATGCCTTTTTGTTTTTTACTGAAAATAATATTTTATGAAAGTAATTTTAGATCCGAAGTAAATTATTTCGGGAACTAAAAAAAATTGGAGCGAAATTATAATTAATTTTCTGTGAAAAGTTGTTAAAAACAATTTAAAATGGAATTAAAAAAGGTCAGAGCAAACTTTTCATGTCCTATCGTTGCCATAGGGGAAAAAATAGCTAAAACGAAAAAAATTGGTCATGGCCTAACATTGCCATAGCGAAAAAAATTATCTTCTTGGCCTAGCTTTGCCAGAGACCAGAGAGCCTTTCGGGTAAAATCGTGCTCCTATTTAAAATGGCGACTGCTCGTATTAGAATCAACGATTAGCAGACGAGGAGAAGACAAGGAGTTAAAAAACGCGTTAGGTGGTTATGTGAAGCAAAATCTTCGTCGAATTGAACTTTAAGACTTTGTTTCAAGGGATTTTAGTGAGTATGCGTGGAGTTTAAGGACGCCAGACAGAAGACTGGACTACTCTGGCATCAAATACACAGACCAATCCGTTCAGGTCGACGAGGTTGAAGAGGCATTAAAGCAAGAATTGGAAGGGCCGGGAAAACTTTTCGGCTACCGAGCGTTGCACAAAACTTAGACAGGTCCACGAGCTTAACGTCCCGCGGGATCTTGTATATGTCGTAATGTACAATGTAGATCCAGATGCTCTCGCCGAAAGGGCTCCCCAGGTCAAAAAGGCAACTTTCACAGACTTGAATATCCAGCAACATCACCTCTCTCTCTGACCGTTTATATGAGACGTTTGCCAGACACTGTTGTTGTTGATATATTGGCGGAATGTCCCCTCCGATGTGAAGCAATGATGTCGACCGCAGCCTTTTCTAGATACCTCTTCATGTATCACCCATGTTGAGCCATTGAATCCTCTGTCATTGGAAGTCGCTTTGAACGCCTTACGAAATCCACCAGTTCCAAATGGCTCAGGTTCAATAGAAAAATCCACGGTTGTTGGTCTTCCGGTGCGCGCCATTACCGACATGTCAAAATTAAAGATCTCAGCGGAGGTTGTGGTATCGGTAATGAGCTTTCCCAATTTTAGCATGTCAACAACCGACAGGCTCTGCGGGACAAATTTGCATGGAATTTGAAATGACGCTCTTTGAGGTACTGATGTGACAGCAGCCCCAGTCTTTCCATGCCCGGCATTCTCACCATGGGAAATGTCGCTGATCTATCGCTTCCGCCGCCCACCGACCCCCGCGGAAACTTCAATCGGAGCGTCCTTGACTTTACCTTCTATGAATCGCCCATGGATCCTTTTTAATGTTGGCAACTGTTTTACAGAGGAACAAGAGAGTCCCTGTTCCCCTGCAAGTGCATCGCAGAACATCGTTTCCGACATACCGTAGTGCTTCATGCATGCTTTCTTGATGTTCCTAACAGAGATTTCGTTGATTTCGTCGAAGTCTTCGAACGAGACTGCCTCCATTTACAACTTCATTTTCTCGGCCTGAAGGTAGCTATATTAACAAGGTGCTTTTAAAAGAATTGGTCCATGATTAGCGTGCGTGTATCGAGTTATGGATGCACGTGGGAAGTTTAGAGAGCACGAGAGAACTTCTCGAGACGAACTCTCAAAATAAGCACTTTTCTGCGCTTTTTAGGTTCACTCACGACACATGATTTTGATACAATTCATTTAGGTACGCGCGAAATAAGCGGTAGGGATTATCGCGACTTTTTTTGTCACTACCTTAAAAAAACAATAACAAAAACAACAACAACAACCATTTAGAGCGGCTGGCAAGCCGTTATCAGTGTCTATTTTGGGGAAACCGAAAAAATTGGCCTCCCTCGGATTTTTAACAGCTCCCTTTTTCTGGCCATTGTTTTCTGTTAGGTTTCCTTGAAAAATTCTCTTAGTCGAAGTCTGTTCTCTGAGTCTAAAATCATGCGCGTCAACCAAAGCTTTTTCACATATATGGAAGTGTGGAGAATCAGCAAATGGGAAACTATCCCTCATCTTGTCATATAAAGTAAAGATGAAACCAGGCACAAACTTAAGTCGCTTTTCCTCTATCTTTTTCTGTAATCGTCACCAACTTGAGTTGCACAATTATATTAGACATGCGCATTCAACGTCTATTCTACCACACGGAAAATATAAATGCAATTTAGAGGAAAACAGCTCTGATCAACCGGCGGCTTTAATTTTCGCGTTCTGTTCTACAATCGAGTAAATTAATTAAATTCAGTTACAATTGGTTAAAATTTTCAAGAGAGTCGCTACATCCTGACATCTTTTCCCTTCAAAACCCATCGGGCAAACGCAATGGGGACCTGTGTTCGGGGTCTTCTCCGG